GTTTCTTAAGCAGAGGTTTAATTACAGCAACCTTGAAAGCTTTAGGTACATATCCCTGTAACAGAGATAGATTAATCACATCTAAAACGGAGGAGGAGATCAAAGGGAATACCTCCTTAAATAACCTGGTTGGAACTGGATCTAACATACAAGTTTAAGGCTTAGATGAAGACAATAGTTTTGCTAACTCTAAACCCGGTTCAGATTCCATGACTACCTCAGATACAATCGCGGATAGAGGAGTGCTAATGATCTTATTTTTAATAAAAAAAACTAAACTAAAATTAGATTTTTAAAAACTGCAAACACTCGTAATTACCGTTTTGTATGGTGGTATTGTGTGAGGCACATTACGCTGCTCTGTTACAAGGCAGAAGATGGATGTGGAAAACATTCAGTCCAGCAGTATGCAGCTCCTCCTTGTTCTTTACTCCCCCACCTCTCCTGCATCTGATGTTTTCTGCAGAGACCCACGCTGCTCCTGCTCTTTAAGATATATACTTTACAGTCAGGATGCAGTGGTGTCTGACTCACCGACAGTAAGGTTGTTTGGCACCAAATGAAAAAACTGTTTGTTTTATTTTGCTTTATTATTGAGGCAAAAAAACTGAACTGGTTTGATTGCTTTATCATACATGTGAAAAGCTGAACATCATCTGAGTTATTCTGCAATAATCAAGCACCCTGCTTTGAAACACTTACTTGGAATAAAGTGGATTCTTTTTCCTCATGCTTGTTCACATACATATAGTATTTTTGCAGAAAAGGCTGCATGGGGCTATAGATCCCTGCTGCATTAACACCCACTGATTAATGAGTATGAAATGATTCTCTACCTATGATATGAATGTAAAACTGTTGAGGATGTCCTTTGATAGGACATAAAAGGCTCCATGGGCTGCGCATCAGATATCCAGCTTTTGATAGAAGGGGATGTTTACGCTGGAAATATTTGCTCAACTTTGGCAGCTAATCGTTATGTTGAAGGTCATACTCAGTTTCTTGTTGATATGGCAAGAAAAAAACAGACCAGCAGTGATTGATTTTCGGGGGTGGAGGGAGGTTTCCGCCCTTAAAGTGGGAGCCTGTGTCCTCAGTAAGTCCTTGCAGCATCTGTCAGCTCAGCTGTATAAATCGAAATCATTATCTTTAGTAGCACTTCCTCAGCCCTTGGTACTAAGCCATGATTATATTTTAAACACTAATTAAAATCCAAAAGATCAATAGAGTTGCTCTTTTTGGGGAAATCTACCCTAATGAAACTATCAAAGCTTTAGAGTCAATATTAGAATAAAAATAAAGTGATGAAACACCATAGTTGATTTGATCAAAATATAGAACGTGCAGAAGACCTGACCCAGTTTCTTTGTCTCATTTTACAATCAAAATGAATTAAAGTGGACCATCTTCATCTTCACTGCCCACCTTCCACTACAGCTGCTTATCTCCTCCCACTGTCTGATGCTGATGCTAGTGGTGTGTTGTCATGGTAACATTTGGTTAACAGTAGAGGTTGAACCTCTAAATGTCTCTAATTGAATTTGGTAAATTTGTACATTGATATTATTGATCATCAATTAAAAGAGAAATTGGTTAATTTGATTGGTTTTTCTTAACCTTTTACTGAAAAATTGTAGAGTTAAAACAATGACTCACCAATAATAAAAAAATAATAATAATATGTATATATTAAAAACCTTAATTGCAGGATTTGTAATAAATTAATCAAATTCTTAAAATTTTAATCCCATAGGCAACCTGCAAAGGCCAGTCTTGGAAAATGGTTCTCAAGGGCCGCAGTCCTTTAAGTTTCCCATATAACCCTTTTTCCACACAGCCCATGAAGTACTGCATGGTGACTTTTTGATTAGAATCAGGTGTGTTGATGCAGAAATCAGGTAACCTTGCAGGATGGGGGTCAAGGTTCCCCATAAATGTACTGAAGGTACCCAAAAAAAGAATTTGAATTCTAGGAAATTTTATAATTGTAGCGTAAGGGTGTGCAAAATAATCGTCATGACGATGCATCGCGATTCTAATTTTTGTGATCTACTGCATCGATTCTTGAAGGCAAGAATCGATTATAAAAAAATAAAAAAATAAACAAATAAAATACATTAATGGTTGGCGCAAATTAGCCAAATCAAGTGGAATACAACTTCCAGTCCAGTAGATGTCGCTGCGGATGTGTTGACGCCCGTTGCTTTGTGTCACAAGCATGTCTGGCCGCGGGATACTGAGACGAGTCATATGAAATAAAACATGGAGGACACTATGAAAATTCGCCCCGCGGTTCCATCACATTTCAAGTCAGATATTTGGATGCATTTTGGCTTTAAAAACAAAGAAGGTAAAAATGAAATACGCACGTCATTTGCAAAGGGGGAAATGTCATACATTTAAATGTTTTCGTTTCATTGGTTTAAAGGACCACTGAGGCCATGTAAACGGCACTGATTATCCTTATTTTATTTTAAGTTTTATGAATCCTAAGATCATTTTGTCAGTGTGTCCACACCAGTAAGAGTAATATTTCTGTCCAGTATTTGTTTTCATGGCAACACCTCCAAAAGTCATTTCAATAAATACAGCTGTGTATGAATTCAGTTGCTTTCAGTTATGTATCAATTGAAGTCACTATCCAGATCATACCCAGCCAGTCAGCCACTGGTAAGGGCTGTATCTTTTTCTTACAGCGATGCATCGCAATATTTCAAGTATCGTGATGCATAGTAATAGAATCGCATTGTGGCATGTGAATCGTGATTCGAATCGAATCACAACTTCTTTGCCAGTACCCACCCCTATTGTAGCGCATGGCTTATCAGTCTTCCTGTGGAGGCTTAGCTTGTTTGTTTACCACATTTGGCAAGCATGGGTTGGTAAAGTGTGCTAACAACATGTTTTTTTTTAACCTCTCAAAACCCACCGTTTTAGAGCGTTTACAAACAAAGCTCAGAATGAATGAAAATTACACTGGTAAAAAGTTTACCAACATAGACATGTTAGACATCGTTTGAAAGCTTAGATTCGCTTATGGCTTAATGAGAGCAGTGGGCTTTATGCTGTCCTGCAAGGCTTTAAACCTGGGTTTGAATGGAGACAAAGCCATTCTCAATCACATATCAAGGTGCTCATTTTGAGCCTGGATACATATTTATTTTTGATTCTGTTCATGGTGGAGAATCCTGCTTCACAGCAGCAGGTTGAGCCAAACATCCTCTAAATGTTCAGGCTCCGCTTCAGTCCAGTCAGGTCATGATCCGCTTTTGCAATCGCACCAAACAGGAAAAAGAACCGCAAGAAGATCCGGTTTGTCACTTTAAAATATAGTAACAACAAATTGGTAACTACGAATTAGAGCATAATTCTTATATATTTAAAAAAACTAACACAGTTTATTTTAAAGATTGTATGCAAACTATTGGTACTTCAACAGACCAGGAATCAGATTTCTCATCTCCATCAGAAATCGCACATATTCTGGATGCTGATGGGGATTTTTTAATATGTCATATTAAATTAACCGTTCATTTCTGCATGTTTTGCTTCTAGGGATTTAACGATAATATCGCGCATGCTCTCCTCGAGCTTTGAGGATAAGTGGGAGCACAGCAATACGGGAGGAAGAGTGGAGGCTTTAGGCTTTGCTTTGCGCAGGAGGTCTGGAGCGCTGCAGGGCAGAGCAGAGGATGTGGGATTTCGGGGTAACAGGAGGAGCGCTGCAAGCGACGTTTAGACACTGTTGTCAGACCACATGTGGTAATTCATAAATGTTTTAAATCAGGTTGGGTCCGTACTAGCCAGCAGGTGGGTCTGGATCCTGACCGCGGTCCGTTAATCCGTAACCTCTGCATTAAACCGAAGCCAAGAGTAACGAGTAAAGTTTTAAAAACGTAAGGAATAGAAAGTACAGATACTTCTGTGAAAATGTAGAGTAGAAGTCAGAAGTAGGAGGAATAATACGGAATGGAGTAAAGTATAGATACCTAAAAGGCGCAGTTAAGTACAGTAACAAAGTATTTTTACTTCGTTACTAGACACTTCTTGTCCAAATCATAGCTGTTTGACCATAGAGATTATTTTCAGCTGATATATTCTTGGATTTTTTTCTCTCCAAAAGACGAGGTTTCAGAACTTTCTGTAGACTACTTGGACACAAATTTACAAATCTATACTAAAGTGTTTTAAGAGAGAAAAAGTCACACATTTAACTTGCTAGTTGAAGCCGAGGAGCAGAGGATGTAGCTTTTGTTTCCAGTGTTTTTTTTTTAAGCCGGTCTGATTTGTGAATCTAACCACCTTACTGCTCCATATCACAGACATGCCATTTAAAAAAAAGATGCCACAGGCGGTCCTCTGCTCTCTCAGCAGAACGCCGGTGTCCTGGGGTTTGGGAAAAGAACGCATCAAATATTCACAGGCCCTCCTGTCCCTGTGGAACCAGCACTGTCTCTGACTCCTGTGCCCCCAGCAGGGGGTCTCTCGTTTGGTTTGGGGAATTGGTTTAAAAACACACTAATTGGAATAAGACTTTACTGAAGTGGAAGTCAAGCTCGTCTTTGGATAAGGTTCTCTTGACCTCAGCACTGATGACATATTTTTATCAGGCTTTAGCTTGATGCCTATTTTACCCTGAGATCAGGAAATTTAAACCTCTATAAACCTTTTTTCAATATTAAAACAGTCAACAAACCAAATAAATCGACATTTTTATTCTTGGTGGTCCTGCTTTTTCTTGAGCTGACCCCTTTCACCGGGACAGCTTTAGATCTCCTTATTCAAACAGCTAGCCTAACACTAAATAAAGCTAAACGTTTCTCTACATTTTTATTTCAGAAGAAAAAAAGGTCATATTGAGAATTGGAATAAAATATGTTGGTGTCTGAGTGAATTCAGAAGGAAGAGGACAAAATCAACGAGGCATTTTGACCAATAGGAGAAAACAGACCTGTTAGAAGTGAACCTCAACATATTCTGTTCTCTACATTTTATTCCAGGTTTCGAGAGAGTGAAGGAGGACCTGCTGCCTCTGCCTTTGAAGGAGGACTCTAATTCCATATCAAAGAGCAAGGTAACAAGAACAAACCTTGATAAAGGCTTAGAAAGCAAACAACTGTGTGTTTTATTGTAGTTGTCGTCATAAGAATAATTTAATCTGTTGGATTATGCCACGGTTTAACTTTCCCAGGCTTGCATTAAGAGAGTCGGCCCCCACCGGGATGATTTAGAAATTATTTAAAATATTAAGCAGCACCAGTTCTTGTTTCCACTCAGCTTTATGTCTAGTAGATGTGGATATCTGTCAGTAATCCTGGTAAAATCAACTGCCGTCCAGTTTGTAAAGAATCATTAATTGTTAGCAGTGAAAAGTATTTACCCCCTTTGAAGCAAACACGTGCTGTTTGTCTGTGTTGTTTCTTCATTCATTTTCCACAAGTGCTTAAGGATGTTTACCTGGTGGAATAAGCACTGATTCTTTAATTTATTACATTTTTTTCCTCCCTCTTCTGCGTTTTCAAGTCGGAAACCAAGCTTTACAATGGCTCAGATAAAGACGTGCCCACGTCTGGTGGAAAGCTCACCAAGAAGGAGTCCCTCAAGGTGAGAAAGCTCTAAATCAGCTTAAGTCCCACATATCCGGATTCTGATTCCCGGTAGAGGCGTCGCAAGCTGTAAAAATACACATTTATCCAGGTTGTGTGTTGTATAATCATGGATTTCTGTAGCATACTCTGAGTTTAGAGTATTTGTGTAGTGAGAAACTATTTCTCAGATTCAGCTGTTGTTTTAATGTAACAACAACAGCAAACCGTGACATGCAGCTTGTTCTTCCTGTGCAATCTGCAGGTACAGAAAAAGAACTACAGAGAAGAGAAGAAGAGGGCGACCAAGGAGCTGCTCAGCACCATCACAGATCCCTCTGTTATCGTCATGGCCGACTGGCTGAAGGTGGGCCGGCTCTCCTCTGTAACTTATTTTCACGGATGTTTTAGCGGAACGACGTAGAACTGTTGGAAGCAGAAGTAGATCAGATCAGTGGTCACCTACTGTTCTTCTGTCTTCAGATCCGAGGCACGCTTAAGAGCTGGACCAAGCTGTGGTGTGTGCTGAAACCAGGCGTCCTGCTCATATACAAGACTCACAAAAACGGCCAGTGGGTGGGAACGGTACTGCTAAATGCCTGCGAACTCATCGAGAGGCCTTCCAAGAAGGATGGCTTCTGCTTCAAGCTCTTCCATCCACTGGAGCAGTCCATCTGGGCTGTTAAGGTCAGAAAATACCAACTAAAGATCGATAATTAATTCTAAGCAGCTTCCGAAAGTAACGATTCCTTACCTGAAATTAAAAAAAAGCGTCAGATACATTTTTAAAGGAGCTTTTTTTTTTTTTTTTTTTTTTTTTTTTTTTTTTTTTTTTAACCCTACAGCATCATACATCCTCCACCATGCCTATCCATGGGCATTGTTTGCTAACCCGACGAGCAGGGGGGTTGAAATGCCTTTTTTTTTATATCCTTGCAATTTTCCTACTCTGAAGTAAGAGAAAATACAAACAGGGGATCTGTTTCATACCCAGATTTGGACATTAAGTTATAATTAGGAGAACATCCTGCTGTAATTTAGGACAAAGAAGATTATTCGCCCAGGAAGCCATTTTCATATTTGGCAGCCCACACGCTCCACTGTTCTCTGCTCTCAATTGGCCTCTTGAGCTGTAATTTGTTATTCATCACGGACCATGAAAGCTCTGAGACATTTGTGTTTGTTTTAAAGAGCTGTCCTACTCTGCTGCTTCACCAAAATTTAGCTCCTCACTCATTCAGCATCTGCCCTCTCTGTCTGCTCATATTTATGTATAAGTTCCTTTGCATAATGATTGATTCACTGTAGTTTACCATTATGGGATCTGTACTAATATTAAATGACATATATGTAAAAAAAAAAAACATGAAAAACAATGAGAAGCTGCCAAAGGTTTGACATCCTGGTCTTCAAACTTATTCAACATTTGATTTTAGACTTAATGATGTATTTATCTTTTCTTCCGATCTCTGTCTTTTTCTTTCATCAGGGACCTAAAGGAGAAGCAGTGGGCTCCATCACGCAACCGTTACCCAGCAGCCACCTCATCTTCCGAGCCGCGTCAGAATCTGACGGTAAGAGATGGGCTGTGGTCTCTAAACGATTAAACCACTAAGACTCAAACTAACACATTCACTTAGTACTTTCCTCAGCAAAATTATTCACACCTTATAACTTTTCACATTTTTTCTATTGTTAAAACCTTAAACTTAGATGTACTTTTAATAATAAATGAAATGAAAAATGCTTTCCCAATAGCTGAACTTTAAACTTTTATGCCTACCTCATTAGGGATTTAATCAAAGCAGGTTTTTAATGCCAATTTCAGCTTTAAGGAGTGGACAAGTGTGTTTTCTCTGTCCATGGTGCTGAAACATACCACAATGTTCCTTCCTGTTTCAAGGAGTCTCTATCCATGGTGCTGAAACATACAACAATGTTCCTTCCTGTTTCAAGGAGTCTCTATCCATGGTGCTGAAACATACAACAATATTCCTTCCTGTTTTAAGGAGGAATATTGTTGTATGTTCCTTCCTGTTTTAAGGAGTCTCTAAGGATGTGCTGAAACATGGAGCATGGGTCCCCTCTGGAGCAGGAAGGAACTGTGAATAATGAATGTTTTTTTTTTTCCTTTTGGTTAAAATGTTTAAAGTAAAACAAAACAACCTTTCCATCTTAAAGTTGTCAATTATGCGTAAGATCAATGCCAATCCAAAATATGACATAAACTATATAAATATGGATTAGATAAATAAATATACCCTGGAATTAGCAGATTTAGCATTTCTTTATTTATTTCTCTAATGCATAATTTAAAGTAAAAAAAAAAAGATAAATAAAGATGAGTTATATAATTAATTGGAACTTAAAAAAAGTCAATTTATAAATGAGTATAGAGTAGTGTAAATAAATTAATATTGAATCTAGTGCTGCAACTAATGATAATTTTTTCTAATCGATTAACCTGTTGATTATATATATTTATATATATTTATATATATTTTATTTATAATCTGCTACCAAAAGGTTCCTTAAAAAATATGTTTTGCAGTATAAAATCACATGAATTTAAAACTCCTATGGAGTTCAGGATAGAGCATATTGGCAGATGAAAATGTTCCCATCTTAAATGCTATATATATATATATATCACATTTTGGCATAATTACTGCTCTAAGAGGGTCACTCTGTCAGCCAAAGGCATGTTTTAGAGTCTCTGTACTTTAGTAAGCGATTAATCCCTTACTAAATTAGTTGACGATTCAAAATATGACAAAATTACATTATACATTAATATGGATTAAATAAATAAACATGTCTATAATCAATTAATCACAATTAATCCAATTAATTTTTTAAGCTATAGTTACATCTGCTTATTTGATGGCACAGGGATCACAGCACAGTGATTGTGAAAACTGTTCCCCACTTTGGAACCCCTCCATTAAAGTATATGTATTATTGCTGAGCTAATCCAGTGTTAGCTTGTTTAACTTTTTATTTGCTATATGGGTTACTGCCTTCTTGCTCCATCAGTTTTAGACATTTACTTTTGATGACATGATGACGAATGCCAGAATAGGGAGTGTAGTTTTGTTCCCTCTAGTGGATGTTGGAGCTGGTTTTGTAATTAGGATTGTTTCCTCAGGTCGATGCTGGATGGATGCGCTGGAGCTGGCCCTAAAGTGTTCCAGTCTGCTAAAGAGGACTATGATCCGGGAGGGGAAGGAGGACATGAGCGCTGTGTCAACGGCTGGAGAGCACTCCATTAATTTCTACAGCCTCCTCAGGGCGCACAACATCCACGGTTTCCAGTGAGTAGCACTATTCAGCATCCTCTGCAGCGACTGGCAGCCAATATCCAATTAAATTAGTTTCCCCTTTTTACCCATTTCATTCGGCTGCACGCTATTTAAAAAAGCTGTCACATAAACTAAAGCTGGACTTTATTCTCAATGAATGTTTTCTTGTTTGTCGCTTTGCTAAGGTTCAACGACAGCGACCATCTGAAAGACCCGGACCTGTACTCAGATAAATCAGACAGGGAGGGAGAACAGGACCACGAGGAGTCCGACCCAGAGGGCCTGGAAAAAAGTGAGGAGAGCGACAGCGACACATCAGAGCGGCAGGATGACTCCTACATCGACCTGGACCCCAATGAGCATCTGAGGGAAACCCCCTACATGGAGCAGTCGCACGAAGAGTTGGGGGAGGTAGAAAACCCGCCTTCCTCCAAATTGAATGATAAACTTTAAGGAGTTCAACTCTTTTTATTTTAAATACATAGATTTTTTTTAATCGTTGCACGCAGCTACAGCTAACAGGTTTCGTTGTACAGTGTGAGTTCACAGCTTATGATGTATGTTCTCACACTGTGTGGCCCGACGCTCTGATGCGATCTACCTGCTCACTTTGTACATCTAAAAACCAGGTCGGACTCAGCGTCGCAGTGAGATGGCGCTACTCGGACTCGTCTATCCAGAAGCCAAACGAGTAGAAGAGGTCTCCTGTTAAATATGAAACTCACTAGAGTGAAACGGACAGCCTTGGCAATTTCTGCCACTTTGTGTGCTGAAAGCCCTAAAAAGAAAAGGCGACGACGCATTTGGACAAAGACATGGCTGAGCAAAAATGGCTACTTTTTACAGAAAGAACTACATTTCACTTGCAGAAGAAGAAGAATCCTTGTGTGTGCATGCTCCCTGGGTGATCTGCCCATGCCCAACTGAATTTTAAACATGTTTGATTCTCTCCCAACCTTATGATTCCTGATCGGCTGGTGGTTGTGAGAGGCTGATTGCCCCTCTTAACCCCCTGTACAATACACGATGCATGATTAGAGTTGGCCCGATCAAAAACTTCTCGAACGACTGCCGAATCGCCCTAAAAGGGCAAAAAAATGGTACAGCGTGAGCCCGGCTTAAGGCGATGACAACCCCCCACAGTGGGGAGTATAACGTTGACAAATGGAAGGACTGCGGTTGGTTTTGTTGTTGATGGGAGCTGTTAGAGCTGCTAACATCTGGGACCCTTTCCTGTTTCAGGCCGGAGAGGCTGCTCAGACGGAGACTGTATCCGAGGAGAACAAATCTCTCATCTGGACTCTGCTGAAGCAAGTGCGACCAGGCATGGATCTGTCCAAGGTTGTCTTGCCCACGTTTATTCTGGAGCCCAGATCCTTCCTGGACAAGCTGTCCGACTACTACTACCACGCAGATTTCCTGTCAGAGTAAGACCTTCGTACACTTTATGTTAAATGAACAACCGCTGAGGTTCTTATGAAAACATTAAGGGTCCCATTATCTAAAATAAAATATCCATCACTAATTTATATGAGCATGCCGTGGGGTTTTGGTGCCCCCTGCTGTAAAGCTTAGGAACCATATCCATCATGCGGTAAATAGGGTGAAACTAATTGGTGAAGTCAGACCTTCTCTTTTCCCACATTTTAAGTTTCAAAAATACATAAAGCACCTTTTTTTTTTTTTCTTTAGGCAACAGAACCTTGTTAGATTTATGAGCACTGTGCTAACACACGTTGGTTTGTATTATGTTAGTGCTTCTATTTAATAGGGTGCTCTGTGCATGAACCTCATTAGAACAAGATGTGTAAATAAAACACATCAAGTTATAAGTTGGTGATTCTCCTTCTAGAGCTGCAGTTGAAGAGAATGCTTACAACCGGATGAAGAAGGTGGTGAAATGGTACATTTCTGGCTTTTACAAGAAGCCAAAGGTCAGTTTCAACCGCCTTATGTTGAGTTGTTTGTGTTTTGTTTTGATTTCCTCTAATAAATGTTTACAATTTGATTCAGGGGTTGAAGAAACCTTACAACCCTATTATTGGAGAGACGTATCGGTGCATGTGGCTGCATCAGAAGACCAACAGCAAAACGTTTTACATTGCAGAACAGGTATGAGAGCGGTGATCCCAGCCTTACATAAAGGCAGATGAATGTAATTTATTTCCATGTTTATAATGATTCCTTAAAAAAAAAAAATTATCTATCCAAATTGTCCAGACAGAGATGCCAAACCATTCAATAAATGTTTTTAAAATTTTGAGTTGTTGCTTAAAAAAATCACATGGCTTGAATGCAATTAAGATCCATTAAACTAAATGAATGAGCCTGTTAAACGACTAAATGTATTATTTAATACATCATTAAATAACTGAATGTAACATTATTACATGAAATAAAAAATTTAATAATTTTGCCTTTAAATACTTCAAGTTAGCTTTTAAATTATGATTTCAATAAAACAAGAGGTTTGCTGCAGATGCCATGAAATAGATTTAGAATGAAACATTTAAATATAAATGTATTTATCTTAGAAATATCACTTACTTTTCTTAATTAAAAAGTTTGTTTCCTTATTTAATGGTATTTTCTAATCTATTTTATCATCAATTTACACCTGTTTATTTCATTAACCCTTTATAGAACTACTACTAAAATAAATGTTATTGTTCAAAGTTACTCCATAGCTCTCACCCATGTCTGCTATTAAAAGCATTTTATTTCTGTGTTCCTTTAAACCCCCTTCAGGTCTCTCACCATCCCCCCGTGTCGGCCTTCTACGTCAGCAACAGGAAAGATGGCTTCTGCCTCAGTGGGAGCATCCTCGCCAAGTCCAAGTTCTACGGTACCATCAACCTCAACGTTCTCAGTTCTCCCTCGTTAGGTCGCTCCTACTAACGAGTTTCCACATGATTGTTCATCTTTAAGGGAACTCGCTGTCAGCCATATTAGACGGAGAGGCTCGGCTTACCTTCCTCAACCGAGGGGAGGACTACGTCATGAACATGCCGTACGCTCACTGTAAAGGTTAGAAACTGAAGCTTGAAGCTTTTTTTAGCTTTCTGATTTATTTGTACCGACTGAAACGTGTCTGTTTGCTCTTTTTGATATATAAAAGGTATTCTTTATGGAACTATGACCTTGGAGCTGGGTGGTCAGGTTACCATAGCGTGTGAGAAAACGGGCTACAGCGCTCAGCTAGAGTTCAAACTGAAGGTGAGTCTGAATTTTCCCACCTTAGATTTACGTTGATCATCAAATAGTAGGTCATCTAAATAGAAACACCCTTTGTGTTAAACTAGCGAGCAGAAATGTTTTTTATGTGATGTTTCTGATTGTCTGATGTCCACCATCCTTCCTCTTTGCCCTCCCCAATACAACACCCCATCACCCAACTGCAACTCCCATCATTACCTACTGCTTTATGCTACCATAAACTAGCGACAGGTATTTGAACTGTGGGTCATTATAATAGAAATAGACGCGGTTTGCTGCTTTTATGAAGAAGTAGTTCAGATTACCCTGACTTATTCTTATTAGACGTTTATAAACAGTGAGATTAACCAAAGGGCTTCTCCAGTTAGAAGCAAAAGTAATCAGTTCAGCAAAATAAAAACATGATGAACTAATCTGGTTAAAATTTATAGATTTGAATGATTTTTTTTACATTTGGTTTTAACATCACAAACAAAATAATTTTACGATAGTTTAAATGTATTTAATGTCAGATTAGGAGTGTTAAGAGTCTTTCCATGTGTTGTATGTAGTAGTTTAAAAAGCTTCGAATAAATTAAAAAAAATATATGTGTCGTGTTTTTTTAAATTTTTTTAATGGTAACTAAAATAAGTACGTTTATCATTTTTCTCAATCTATTACTCTTTGGTTTTACTGTCCTGTGGTTGTCCTCCATTCTGCTTCTTGTTCCCAACGCTCCCCCCCTCCCTCGTTTCCTCCTCTACCTCTCCTTCCTCCTGTCGCTTCTCTTTCTCCCTCAGCCGTTCCTGGGCAGCGGCGACTGTGTCAATCAGATCTCTGGGAAGATCAAATTGGGAAAGGAAGTGCTGGCTACTCTAGAGGGACACTGGGTACGATAAAACCACGTTTAGTTTTTCCGTCATCTTCCAACAATTACTGAAAACAGGAAATAGCTGCGTTTGTTTTTTCTCTAACAGGACAGCGAGATCTTCATCAATGACAAGAAGACGGGGATCATGGATACTTTCTGGGACCCCACACCAGAGCTGAGACAGAACCGGCTGATCCGCTACACCGTCCCACCGGAAGAGCAGGGAGAGTTTGAGTCAGAGAGGTGCACCTTGATTTAAACCTTAGCTTTGAAGCACTCCCTGCAGCTTTTGTTGATTACCAAAGCAGCTTTCCATGTTCGGCCCCCATCCAGGCTGTGGCAGCATGTGACCCGAGCCATCAACAGCAAGGACCAGACAGAGGCCACCAACGAGAAGTTCATCCTGGAGGAAGCTCAGAGGAAGGCAGCCCGCGAACGCAAAGTCAAATGCGAGGACTGGGTCCCGGCCTTATTCGAGCAGGACCCCATCAGCGGAGAATGGCATTACAGATATGCCGAGTGAGTGGCTCCTCTCTACACCACCCAGATTTTACAGCTGTGATGCATTTTGAATGTAGCTTTAAAAAAAAAAAGACAATTAAGGCAAGACACAATGAAATAAATAGAACAATTCACTACAAAGGCAATTACTTAAGTACTTTACATCAATTAAACAATTAAATAGATGAAAAACAAAAGCAGTTTAAAGGCAAATTGAATTAATACTTAAAACAAGACGTTGTTACTTAATGCAAGAATCTGTAAAGTTAATCCATTTGCATCTTTGTTCTTTATTGAGAGAGTGAGGTCGCCATCTCCTGGTGGGTGCTGTAACTGCAGTGTTTAATAAAAGTCTGCTGCTTGCTTCTACGGGTCATTAAAAATCTTTAAAAGTCATTACATTATAATTTTTATATTAAGGCCTTAATTGGCATTCAAATTCATAAAATTTGATTATTGTGGCATTTAAACTGCTTTATTTAAAAAAAAAAAAGTTTATAGAAACAATTTTATCAGATATATCTTGATATATTAGCTTCCGGTTGATCGTAAAGCCGTATGTTCGGAAGAGAAGTCCGATGCAGAGAAAAAGCTAGAGAATGGGGAAATGCATATTTCAACAAAAGTGGCTGAAAAACAAGGAATTTTAGGGCGTGACTGCAGCCTGTCGACGGTAATGATGACGAAGGATTTTGCGGTGTATATATGAGAGTCATGGGTACTTGTTGATGGCCTTAAAATTATTTTCTAAGAGAATTAAATAAGAGTTACTCATTCCTGTATAAACCATGTTTGAGATTAATATTAAAAAACATAATTTGATATTCATAGTTTTTATTTGCTTTGATTTGATTGGTATGCTGTTAATAGGTATCTGAAATAGATTTGTAATCTCAATGAGACATACCTGATTCAATAAAGGTTATATGCATATATGCAATGATTAATTAAAAAACCAACCATCCATCCATCAGCCAAATTTTTGTACAATGCCTCTCTCCCAAAGTCTGTCAAAACATTTAAATTTCGGGACTGTATCAGAAGTGTGGAAGTCATGTTTACTTGTAAACATGAAGGCAGCAGCAGCTTAACCGAGGTTTGATGTTCAGACATTAAATACCTCAGAAAAGAAGGAAAGCCTGGTGTCCTCTGCATAAATGAGAATATTAGCTGCAGAAATATTTACATTTTTTGATTAAATAAGAGAAATAGAAAGAAGCCTAAATCCGTCCTTGTGGTACTCCTATAGGAAACCCTAAATAACGTTTTTTTTTATATATATATATATATAACCTTTAGCAAAAGTCTATTAAACGGTTAATATAGACGATCCTGAAGCTTGAATCTAGAGCATAGAAGTTTCTTTTTTAATTTTTTCTTTCTAATCCTATGACCCAACTCTGTCCTGCTCGCTCTGTTCCTCAGCACCAGGCCATGGGATCCGCTCAACGACCTGATTCAGTTCGAGAAAGACGGCTGCATCCAGACCAAGGTCCGACACCGCACCCCTATGGTACGTTCTGGCAGTCTTATTAGTCTGAGTAACCAGGGGCCGCGGAGGGACAATTGCAAGTGTCAGGTAGGTTGTCCTGCTGAGAGAGCATGCCACCGCCTCATCCATCCTTGCCGGCGCACCTCCTCCATTGCCGCTTCATCTCTTTGTGCTGCCGCCATCGTTGCCTGGAGTTATTGTGTCTTTGTTTTTTAAATCTGTTATTTTAAACCGGCTGCTCTTTCATCATCGTTTCATGTCTGCATGACTCATCAAACACTAACCATTATATAGATAAACCATTAACCATTTCCCAGTCACCTCATTCAGTCATCTCTATATTCTCAGCGTTTTCAGACTGGTGCTTTTTTGTGTCTTTGGTAGAAAAATTGCTTGTTTTTCATTAGTTTTCAACTAAAACCTTTATTTTAAGCTAAATTAGCATTAACTTACTTTGGTTGTATTTTTTTTTTACACTGAACTGCCACCGCTTTTAACCCCCACCTGCACAATATTGCCCCCTTTTTTAGGATCAGTTTTCTATCTTTGACCTTTTTTATGTTATCTTTATCTGCTTTTTGCTGACGATGAGCCATGTCTAACCTCTACGCCATATTTGCTCGTGTGTCCATGTTTGAATGGTACATCAGGTGACGGTGCCAAAGAGGAAGCACAAGAGCGACAAGCCCAAGAGCCCAGAAAGTGGCTGCTCTTCACCAGAACCCGATCGCCACGACTCATCAGGCAGCGAGCGTGAGTCAGCCTCTGACTTCAAAACGAAATGGTAACCCCTAACCGCCATAATAACTATCCGTTATTTTTATTACAGGACACAAAAGCAAGCATAACAGTCGGATGAGGAAAAAGGGTGCAGACCTGAGTGAGCTGCAAAGCGCCATCGAGTCGATAAAGCAGACGCAGGAAGACATAAACAGGTGAGGAGGGCGTCGACCGGTCGAATATCACCGCATCCCAATGCCAGTATGGGGGAATTATTGTTGCAATATTATTTGCAAATGTGTTTGCAAATAATATTTGTTTGCAAAGGAGATTTGTACATTTGTACAAATGTGCAAATGTGTAACATAACTTGTGTGTAATCCAATTTATTGAAAATCCACAAATCTGTTTTCAGATCTACAAATGTGTAGCTCAGTCTGTAAACCTAAAGAGACACTTAACTCTGAAGTATTTTTGCTTCAACACCCAACATACAGACATATCATTGTATACAAGTCTTCCAGATGTGTGTAGTATCTGGAAGCTGTCCTGAGCGCAGGCTTGCAGGATCATAGGCTGCTTCTTCCCCCTATGGGTGCATTATTGTTCCAAAAATCGCTTACCCATGGGTTATTTGTAGCCTCAAACGTCCGATCCATCTTGCTGTTAGCAGTCATCTTTCCTTGACACATAACTCTTGTAGCATAAAAAAAAAGGATAGAAGACGCAGCCTGTGAGCCTGCGCTCAGGGCAGCATTCCATTATTACACATAGGAATCGTCTCCCACATTTGCAGATCTCACTCGGCAGAAAAGTTGCAAAAATTACGTATGTAAAGAGAGCCAAGGAGAAACCGCTTGAATTGTAACCAAGGATTTATCTGCATTTCTGGGTGTTGAAGCGAAAACACTTCAGACTTAAGTGTCTCTGTGTGTTTACACATCTACAGATTTGTTGATTGTTTTTACACATTTGCAAATCGGATTACACTCAAGTTATTTTACACATTTGCAGATTCTCGTATAGACGCACAAATCAATTCAGTTTATAATACCACAAAATTGAGATACAAATGACTCTCCATACACATTTTTTGCAAATAATATTGCAACAATAACGCCCTAATATGCCAGCCGTGTTAAAAAGCCGTGTTTCTGCAGGAGCGTCACTCTGCTGCGGAGCCGAACGGCGGGACAGACGGAGAGCAGCTCCTTCCTCCAGCAGCGGGACTACGTCATCATCGCATTCCTCATCCTACTTCAGGTTCTAATCAACTACATTTTCAAGTAGCAGCCATGAGGCCCACTGACTTTCACTCAGACGTGGACATCTAGACATGAAGATGGAGGTTTTTCGACAAGCGGACCTCCAGCCCCCTCCTCCTCTCTGTTTAATAAACCCATATATATATCTATATATATCTGTGTTCTGAAGAGCAGAAGGCTCCACTCAAACAGACGTTTTTTATGGCGTATTTATTCATAAACTTCACCACAGCGAATCTCTGCGAAGATGAGAGATTTCAAAGAGGAGAGGAGCAACGCTTTTTTTTTTTTTTGCCTTGATATTAAAGGCAAGGATGGCAGCCATCTTTTTAGCTGTTGAATTATTTTGGGGTCTTTATTTTCTACTGTTTCACATTTCACATTTTTCACTCAGAAAACGAGGACCACCGCTCAGATTGTAACACACATCCCTTTCATTTTTCATCTTTCCCTCTTTTTTTTCTCCACTATTTTCCTTTCATATTTCCCGTTTACCTGAAATCTGCCCGGAAACAAAAAAACAACAAACAGGATAAACAAAAAGGGAAGGAAAATGGTCCAAACTCTGCAACTGAAATTTTTCTATTATCAGCTCTTCTTGTATTAACTCTGGATTCCACATGTGGAAATAGACAATAAGGAAGGAATAGAAGCTATAGAACTCCTCTTTTGTGTATATTGTAAGTAGCATGTACAAACTGATGTGAGCTATAAAACTGTAGGAGACCGTTTTGTTTTTTTCTTTTTCCCAGGGCACAAACGCGCTGGAAATGCGAGACCTTTGCATTTCTCCGTCCATCATATCGCTTCAGCATGGGGCCAAACTGATGCTCTCGCTAACAAAACAGAAATACATCTTCTTAAAACATGTCAAAGATCACTGCCCTTTTACTGTGCTGTTTTTAACATCATTTATCAGTTGAACAAACCTCAACGACAGCTATAGTACAACTGCCTCGCATCTAAGGTTGTGTTTTTGCTTTGTCGGGGTTTAGGTTTTCCACCGATGTGGCTCTCGTGTCGAACTTGGCGCCGTTGCTCCATTATTGGAACCTATTGATACCGAATCCAGTACTTTTATTAGATCAATTAAATAAACACCATGTCTTTGTTTAGAAAACTCTTTAGCTAAACTGTTAGCCTGATAGCAGCACTACCGATGAGGTTCAGGCTGCTGCAGATAAAGACAACGGATGTTTTTTTCAGGTCAAATTTCGCTTCATAAATGCTGCTATATGTTTTACTTTTTATTTTTAGCGTTACGTTGCACAAACCTCGATTACTCCGCTAATTTGGTCGATGTGGCTCAAATAATCAGACAATAAAACTACAACGGCAAGCAGGAAATGAAAAAAAAAAAGCATCATCTGGGTTTTTAGGTAACAGTTAAGCCCCAAAGTTTTTTTTTTTTTTTTCAGATCCCTGGTAGTTTTATTTTTTGCTTTTTTTTAATTTCTTTTTTTTTCCTTCTGATTGGAAGTTTTGTTTAATTAGGAGACTTTAATTAGCATTCTTACCCAGTGGAAGGCTACCATTAGGGGGTTTGCTGCTTTAATTCAAACAAAGGTTTTTAATTTAGAAAGAATAGGTAAAAAAGGATATAGATTATTTTAGACAGACCTATTCATTCTGTTTTTATACAAAAATAAATTCCCCTTATATAGTGTTTTATTATCTTTTAAAATATCCCCCTCTGGGCTTTAAGGTTATTCCTATTTAAGCGACCAACTAAGATTTCTCCTGTTGGGTGTTTATACGTTTTAGAAATTATAAACGGCATCAAAGTTTATAAATTATCTTGGAAGAGGACAGCTTTGTTTCCTTTTTTAAGGGCCATTTAGGAGAAAAATGGCAGATATCGATGCAAACCTCACTGGAAACAATGTGTGGACTTGGTGTTTCGGTGGGTTTTTCTTATAAATTAAGCTAGCTAAAAATAAAACCGTCACTTTAACGTTAAAACCTGGTGCTCACCACTTTTTAATCTGCTTTGAATGTTCAGTTTCTTATTTAATTTCTTCTTTAACACAACAGTTTTATTTAGTGCTTGAGTTATAAACCAAGCGGCAGGTAACACCGGGAGTTTAACATGTGAACTGGATTGGTGGATAACTAACCTTAAAGCAAATAACTATTTGGTGTGCAGAAATGTTTTAAAAAGTAACGTAAAAAAAAGGCTCCAAGCAGACAAAAACAGCTTTTTTTCACTGCCTGAATGCAGCGGCTTCATTGCACGACCAACAGAGAGCATCAGTCACCATCTGCGGCGCATTTGAGCCTCACAGTGTAACTATTTAACCTAGAATAGACACATTAACGGAGCTCCCCTACAGAGCGCGTAGACCTCGTCTAGCTGTCGCATCTAAATGCATTCCAAATGTACAAAAACTTGCAGCCAAACTCTGTGTGTAGAGTAGAGATCTGTTGGATTCACTGTGTAAACATCCAGGTAGCTCCAGGGCAGCGCACAGACTGTGTGCACATATCGCTCTCCTCTGACTTGTTTGTTAGAAATGTAATCGCCCAGCTCATAAAAGTTCAAGATAAGTTTAGGGGAACAGTTTGCATGTGTTTTGTTTTCCGTCTTCGCCTGTTCTCATGTTAGCCTTGTCGACGTTTACATATCCGATTGCCTCCTCCATCTGCAGACTGTTAAGCGATGGAAGCGTGGAGACCGGTAGCATTTGGTAGGAGCCAGCTGTACCCCTGGAAGTAACCCGGCTGGCCCGAGTGTATACGTACGTGTGTTCCTGTGCATCCTCATTGCCTCGGATGGTAGAATGTGGAGAAATAAGTTTATACCAGTGCCTTCTAGAGTCAGACGTGGGGAAATGTGGAGGTGGAGGGAGGGGAGGAGTGGTGCGGTGGAAGAGAAGAGGTAAGTCAGGCTCGGACTAAAACGGTGTAGCGGGCCGTGGATGTGCCATATGAAGTCTGACTCCACAGGTAGAAGCCCCGCCCAGCTCCTAAAAAGCCACCTCAGTAATTGTGACGCATCATTAGGTTCCTGAACGCTGATCCCTGCCACAGGGGGAAAGAGTTTCCCTCCGTTCTCTCGCACTCCCTCGTTTTCAAACATGGAGGAAAACGACCTTCCTTACTGTACGTTGTTACCGTGTCTGTGAAATACTGTTATATTTATTCCTCTTTTATTTTGTATGTGGGTTTATGTTTTTTCACCTCATAGTTTTAGGTCACTTTTCTTTTCTTATTTAATGTTGGTTTTGTTTTTTCAACGATGGTTTAAAAAAAAAAAAAAAAAACCTTGCTCGTTTTTTACACCATGTTCACACAGAGATGGTCCAAACTGGTTTCGCCCTCAGTCACCCTCACATACGCACATCACACGACTTCTTTTCCTATTCAAGTAATTGAATATATTTACTGTATCTCCATGGAAACTGTAACTTCTTGAAAGTTTATGGTCACATGTAACACAATAAAAACAAAATGTCATACTTCATTCCGTCTCCATTTGGTCAATAAGGTTAAAAAGTGTCAAATTGATGAAATTACAAAGAATGTTCTGTTATTTTTATTTTTTATTTTTTATGGGAAAGTCAAATATAATAAAGACCAAATATAGACTTTACAGTTATTTTTTTTGCTGAGGTTTCTCAGCATCCAATATGCCTGCCATAGCTATAAAGGATGGTTATAGATGCAATAATAGAACATTTCAGATTGCTTTAAAGATCCCGCATAAAGAGTTTGTTAATTTACTATTTTTATAAATATGGCTTTATCACAAATTTAATCTGGTAGATTTATTCAAACTGATTTAATGTTAATTTTGAGTTTAATTTATCTTAGACCCCAATATTGACTGGAAGATCCCCTCATATAGGTAATCTACCAATTACTAAGGCATACTTAACCCTAAAAATAACAATGAATTCTAAATGCTTTTATTCAGATGACCATCTTTAGCTTAGATTAGAACTTATATTAATCTGCTACCCACTGAAGCAGCATATTTGGACAACATTTGGAGAAGTGAGAAGGACAAACATAAAAAATAGATGAAATCTATATAACATTTGTTCATATTTAAGTGATATCTGTTGATTTCTTTATGGATATTGATCATTAAAAGACTTACATTACAATTTTATTTGCATGTAGTTAAAATTACATAAAGTTAGTAGAAATGCGTAACAACTTTAACGCAATATTTTCCAGATTAAGAGTCGCAGGAATTAACAGTAAATCAAAAGCTTCAGCACACATTTCATTGTGCAAAATGTGAATATTAATCTGAACAAAAAGTCTAAAAGGTGTAACATCTCATTTCTTCCAGAGCAGGATTCTTCACAAGGCAAACTATATGTCTCCTCAGCAACAAGCTGCTTTTTTTTTTTTATTTAAGTAAGCAAACTCGCATAAATTAAAATAAACAAATGGAAATTGCTGCTGTGATATCTTAGTCTTAAACTACAGGTGCTGGTCATAAAATTAGAATATCATGAAAAAGTAGATTGATTTCAGTAATTCCATTTAAAAAGTGAAACTTGTATATTATATTCATACATTACATACAAACTCATATATTTCAGATGTTTATTTTGTTTAATTTTGATGATTACAAATGACAACAAATGAAAATCTCAAATTCATCATATCAGAAAATTAGAATATTGTGAAAAGGTTCAAAATTGATGGCCCCTGGTGCCACACTCTAATCAGCTAATTAACTCAAACCACCTGCAAAAGCCTTTAAATGGTCTTTCAGTCTAGTTCTATAGGCTACACAATCATGGGGAAGACTGCTGACTTGACAGTTGTCCAAAAGACGACCATCGACACCTTGCACAAGGAGGGCAAGACACAAAAGGTCATCGCTAAAGAGGCTGGCTGTTCACAGAGCTCAGTGTCCAAGCACATTAATAGAGAGGCGAAGGGAAGGAAAAGATGTGGTCGAAAAAAGTGTACAAGCAAGAGAGATAACCGCACCCTGGAGAGGATTGTGAAACAAAACCCATTCAAAAATGTGGGGGAGATTCACAAAGAGTGGACTGCAGCTGGAGTGAGTGCTTCAAGAACCACCACACACAGACGTATGAAAGACATGGGTTTCTGCTGTCGCATTCCTTGTGTCAAGCCACTCTTGAACCACAGACGGCGTCAGAAGCGTCTTGCCTGGGCTAAAGAGAAACAGGACTGGACTGCTGGTGAGTGGTCCAAAGTCATGTTCTCTGATGAAAGTAAATTTTGCATTTCCTTTGGAAATCAAGGTCCCAGAGTCTGGAGGAAAAGAAGAGAGGCACTTCATCCA